CGCCCTGATTGGGCCACACATTGCAAAGTGTAGCCATAACCCAATTGAAGAGGGAGTGATTTTCTGGGGTCTGATGTGCATTCTGCAGTTGCTGCCTCAAGGCAGGTGAATCATCAGCACAACCAGTTTTCCCATTTCTAAACCAGACAGAATAATTTCATCAATACCTACATCTCAAAGATGCCAAGATGATATTGATGCTGAGGGCTTCTGCTGAAACTGGGAGCCCAAATCCACCAGCTCAGCCTGAGTACAGGGGTAGAGAATAGAGTGCTCCATAACCTGGGGAGGGGGCTGCACCTCTACTGGAGGAACCTGAGGTTGCTGAGTCTTTATTTTCTTAACTGTAATAGGGTGGGCTTTCAACAGAGGTGGGGGGGGATGCCTCCAGCACTGGCATGGCCTCCACCCCCACCTGCTTATCAAACTTGGCTCCTCCTCCATTTCTGGGGCTGACAGCATCACTACATTCTTCACCTGCTGCACGGCACCTTGCAGCCTGCATTCTCATGACACTGCTTCTTGGACTACCATGACATCCTTTACCATTTCCACATCACCTCGTAATGACACCATTTTAGTCAACAAATGTTTTACCTCCTCTACGGCACCTTACAGCTCATGTTCTTGTGCTGCCTCTTCTTGTGCTTCTTGCAGAAGGCCATCTTTCTCCTTTATGGCCTTTCTTAACGCTGAGAAAAAGCCAACCCACAGTTCCCACCACCTCATGCAAACTCTGTGTCTTCAAGGAATTCCCTATTTTGCTGAGGGTCAACTTTACTGCCTCAGGTGTCACCTCCACCTCTTCCCAGCCCTGGGGTGGGGCCCAGTCCACTAAAAGGAAAGCCACCTCACACCACATGCCCATTGGGGAACACTCGAATGTCTCCACATCCATAGGGGTAGCCCTGCTCAAACACCCCTCCCATGAGGGCAGCCTGTTCCATTCTTCGATCTACAATGAATCCTGCCAATGTTGCCAATTGTCCTACCTGAGGGTTTCAGCCCTGGGCAAGCTCACTCTGGATTCCATGAGACTGAATAATAACAATGGGATGTTCTTGGGGTGAAAGGGTTTATATCCAACTTTGTTCCCATAGTGGTAGGTCAATCACTAGAATACTGTCTGCCTCAGAGCAAGTCTGCATGCAGCAAGCCAGTTTCTGCCTCTGGGGCTCTCCATGCCCCCAGTCATCTCAGTCTCTGTCCTTGGTGCTGCTACCACTCCAGCAGCCTCTGCTCTCCTGCAGCTGTGCAGTCCAAAGCACTAGGCAGAGCTCTTTATATAATATAGAGTCAATAATAATGTAATGCACACACGTGTACAGTGAGCAAGCTGACCAGCATCAGGTGAGAATCCTGGCCATAGGAACTTTCATTTTCTCTGTATTTTTGTTACTTGATTATATTGTAAATCCTATCATAAGTCTACTCAATTACTTTCTTGTGGTTTATAACTTAAAAGAACAGGAAAATCTACTGGAATAGTCTAGGATAAAAATATTGTCACCACTCATACTGAGCACTTTTAAAAATCTGACGTGCAACTAAGTTTAAAGGAGATAATATATATTTTAAAATGATAAATTCAAACAGTAAGATTAACCATATGAGAAACAATAATGACACAGTTAAATAATTTCATATTAAATCTTGCCAGATTACAGTGATCATAATCATGAATGCTGTGAAACTTCAAAAAAATGATAAAGGATCCTATGTTAAAAATCTGAAAATAGAGTTGCACAATATTAAAACTTCTGGCATTTACTTATGCTGAATGTTTTTAAAGGAGCAATACTTTTGATCATTTGTTTCACAAAAAAGCAAAAACAGCTCAGCAGTAAAAGATCATCTCCAAGAGATTTAGTTCTTAAACTATGTATCATTGGATATGTGAACACACATGGATAATGGAGCTACTTTACAGAAATTGATTCTAAATGTCAAGTGTTCCTAGAATTTCTGAATACCATCTTACATATAAGAAAGGAAATTTCTCTGATGGAAGGGAAGATGGCATGTTTTTAAGTTTCCAATAACTAACTGGAAATATTCCTAAATACTCCTGCCCTTCTCCTTACTGATCCCTTCTACTCCTTTCTCCCCACCATTCTCTGAAAGTGAACTCAGGTTCTCATTTGTGAATAAAATCTGGGGAACAGGTGAACAGGAAAAGTGGGCAAAGCCAGATGCACCAAGAAGATTGCACAATACAGAACTGAGTAAGGGAAGAAAGCAGAGAAGAGAGACCATGAGCACAGAACAGGAAGGAGAGGCTGAGGACTTGGCTGTAAAGAAGAAGAGTCTGTCACCCATGACAGGCATCTGAAATGTATTTGAAAGTAAGAGACATATGAGAATGAGAGTAACAGAAAAATAATTTAAAAGATTTTTGACAAAGTTTTGTTATTTTGCATACTATAGCAATGCTTCCTTGGATATGACACTGCTCAGAAAAAGTGACATGTGGCAGCAGAGCTTTATACAGGGAACACATAGAAGTCATTTCGGATACATAATTTTTCAGGAGAAAAAAAATTCCTTCTATATAAGCAACCATCATAAGCTGTTTGAAATTAGCATCTTAAAAATTTCTTACTCTGATATCCCCAGGTCAATCTGGCCAAGAACTATGTCAATTGTTATTATAATGTGCATAAAAACACCATTTCATGTAAGTTTCAAGGAAACTAAAATACTAACTTCCACAGAATGCATGAAACTAACTTTCAAGGGAAAGCTAAGAGGTTACTGAGGAAACCAAAAGGAAAAATGTATCACCATAAAAGACAAATGCTTTGAGAAAGTGTCACAGGGAACAGTCCATCAAAACCCAGTCCAGGAGGTGTGAGTTCACATCTGGAGCGTGGCAATGGTTTCAGGGTGCACGCATTTGTCAAACCTATCCACCTGCATACTTTAAATGTGTGTAATTTTTTGAAGTGCAGTTTATTTAAACAAACAAACAAACAAACAAACAACATGCAGGCTCCAAAGGCATGATAACTAACGAGCAAATGCACATAGGCAATTCAGGAGTATCAGTTTTCAACAGCACTTGAAAACTTGGAAGGTTTCATGTTGTTAAAACACATACACAAAGATACCCATCCACAGCAGATGAAATATGTAAGATTTAACATTTCAAGTTAAAGTAGCAGTTTGCATTCCTGTAATGTAAATGAAGTTAACTTTTAAGGGGAAGAAGCAGATGGGGAAGAAGATGGTGGCATGAAGAACGGTGGTTGTCGGTGTGGTGGGAGGGTTGGTATTTCCAGGGACTAAATATCCAGCTGTGAATTTAAAAAGTGGTAGGTTTGCAAGAAGAAAGGGGATAGAACATTCTTTCATCTATTCCTTCCTGCATTCAACAAAATATTCATTGATATCTTGTAAGTGTCAGGAATTGCACATCACTCATCAGCAAAAGAGACATGGTCTGGTCTCTATTTTCATTAATTTAGCACAGAATGACAGAGTAGAATATTATCAGTCAAATCCCTCCACAAACATTAAATTATCCTGTGGAAAGTGATAAGGAAAGAAGCCATGGAAAAGTATCACAGGGGTGTCGGAGAAGGTCCAGGATATATAAAGAACCTTTACAAGTCTATATCAACTACCTGATTGAAAAATGGGCAAAGTAGTTTAAAAGACCTTTCTCTAAAGAAGATATGCAAATGGCCAGCAAGCATGTTAAAAGAGGTGCAATATAATCAATCAGTAAAAAAATGCAAACCAAAATCACAATGAGATATCACCTCACAACCATTATGAAGACTGTTACTTAGAAAAACAAAGTCAACTAGTGTTGGCAAGAATGTGGAGAAATTGAATCCCCTGCCTACTTTTGGTGGAAGCATAAACTGCTATGGAACTGCTATGGAAAACAGTATGGAGTTTTATCAAAAAATTAAAAATAGATCTAATATATGATCCATCAATCCTACCTCTGGATATATATATATATATATATATATATATATATATATATATATATCTCCAAAATAATTGAAAGCAGGGTCATGAAAAGATATCTATAACTCATGTTCATAGCAGAATTATTCACAATAGCTAGAAGTGGGAGCACAGTAGATGCCCATGAATGGATGAATGGATAAAGAAAATGTGGTACATTCATATGCTAGAATATGATCCAGTCCTAAAAAGGAAGGAAATTTTTACCCATGCTACAATATGGATGAACCATGAGGACATTATGATAAGTGAAATAGGCCAATTACAGAAATAAAAACAATCTAAGATTTCACTTATATGTGGTGTCTGAAGCCCTTAAACTCATTAGGAAAAGAAAGCAGAACAGTTATGGCCAGGGGCTGGACAGATGAGAAAATGGGGAGTTGGCACTTCAGAAAGTTGTGGAGATTGGCTACTCAACAATGTGAATACATTTAACACTGCTGAACTGCACACTTAAAATTATCGAGATGGTACATTTTATGTTATGTGTATTTTACCACAATTAAAAAATTTAAATATACTGAATAAATCACATTATAGCTAACTATATATATATATAGTCCATCAATAGCTAGATAGAGTTTTGAGGAAGACTGTGAATTGAAAGTATAATTTGGGAGTCATACAAAGCAACAGTAATTCTATTACACTGCTTTACATTCTTCTCCCTTCATCCTTAAAATTCTGGGTTTTCAGTGATTCTATAAAGTAGTCTTCTTATTCTGTCCTCCCTAAAGCCTGAGTTTGACACAAGAGTCTGTTTTCATCCACCAAGAGAAAACACTTGAAGATTTTGAAGAGCCAACATGGGGTATTTTTAGCTGTGCTATTCTGCCAAGACAAACAATATCTATTTGTCTAGGCACCTAATTTTAGCAAATATTAAAAATCACATATGCAGATAGAGAAAAAAAATAAGACTACTCCTATAAGCAAATATGCAATGATTTTAGAGAAAAATCCACTGTTTACACATCAAAATGTATCTCTCTCTTGAGCAATGTTATTCTGCCTACCTTGTTTGCGGACATCTTCTACAGCCGCGACCAATTCTTCTTTAAGATCTTGACTCTCCTTAGCAATCTGTTCGCCCTTTTCCAGGAAGTTCTGAGTGGCTTGCTCTACAGATGCAGCCAGTACGTGGGCTTTCTTTGACCTTCCTTTCTTTTTCCCAGATGGACCTTTGTTGCTTGTGTTGACAAGGGTTGTCACCTTAAACATAAAAGGAAAACTGTAAAACCATTCTGATTAACTGTCTAGAAACTCCGTACTATTATCTCATAGTTTTTAAATGTCTCTTGTTTATGAATGCACATTACATAGATTAATCTTAAGGAAAAAGTGGAATTATATGGATTAGCATATAAATAAGCCATCTGTTTCATGTACAAAAAAATAAAAGAGTGGGAGAATACAGAAGAAAAGATTTGCCAGTAGCTCAAAGTTTCCAGTTCACTGGGGGATGCGCTTTCACACATTGACAATTACAGTGCTCACTGGAGTAACCAGCTTCAGGGAGGTGAAAAAAGGAAAGCGAATGTGGAATTTCCTTGGGCACTGAGTCAAGAGAACCAATACCCCATCCTGTGCCCCAAAAGGGAGGGCAGAATTGAATGAGCAAATGGTGAGCCATCAATTCTTATTACCTCTGTATCATTTACTAAGGACTTCGGAAGAGTTTTGCTATTTCTGATTTCATCTTATAAAAACAAATGGTAAATTTGATTTGAGGGGACTGAATGTTTCAGTCTCAACATTTGGCCAAAGAGCTAAAATTTCCAGAGTTGAAATTAGATATGCATTCATTCCTTTTCTAAGTATCATAATTTGGATATGCATCTCAAATGGCCAAACTTCTTTTAGCACTATATCTATAGTTAATTAATTTGCTGAAAAAGATTTTAATATATATCTGAAACAAATTATCTCCTATAGATTTCTGAATTATTTCATTTCATTTTATTTTTTTTCCTATCAGTGAAAAGTTTGGGAGGGAAATGAATGCACCTGTTCCATATTCAACTCAAAAGAAGTTGCCAGTTATCCTTACCTCTGTGTTTTTTATTAGTTTCAGAAGAATGTAAGTACTGTGGTTTATTTTTACTGATATTTTTCCTGGTTACCATACTAAGGATTTTACTGGAGGTTATCAAGAAACTTAGTCCACAGAAAATTTCCAAATACTATAATTTCTTCTGTTTACTCCAAATCCAAAAGGAAGCAAAGTAATTAGTCAAAGTGACAATTAATGTCCAGTCAGTTTATAGGGCAAGAGAATACCTGGAGGAAAAAGGGTTGTATAAATGTGAACCAAATGATGAATACAGGTAGACCCAAGACTCAAGAAGTGGTTAAGAAGTAGTGTTGAGAGTTGTCATATTTAGCTTTCTTTTGATTGCTAAATAATTAGATACACTAAATAGATAGGTAAATAATTAAAGAATGACTCTATAAGGACATTTAGCTACAATCAATGGACAGTAAAAGAAAGGTAAAATCATTAAGAATAAGAATGTCAGATAATGGTACCTATAAAATATGCATGTAGTCGGTAACACATTATAGTCGTCTCTGTTCCACCCACAATGAGGCAACCATCAGAAGAAAGACAGCCTGTCACAAAAGTTACCTTTCTAAGGTAGAAGAGTGTTCTCCTGAATAAGGATTTATGCTGACACATTGACACAGTACTCCTCCAGAGACCACAACTCCCCCAAAGAGCCAATACCTGGAAACAAGCACGTAAACTACCTAAACAAATACAGCAAACATCTCAAAAATATTGATTTAAGGCAATGCTCTTTATATAGGAAAATACTCCTATTCTCACTAATATCTAATTTATTTACTTTTTCATTCAGATTTTATATGTAATTCTGAGAAGCTTTATGATCTATTTTTTCATCTTCTCAAATTAGGAAAAATAAGGGAGTAGTTAACGTTAGGTATGACAATTTTTGAGCAGTAGAAGCTGAGTGAATTCACTCTAAATGCCCATATCATGGATTCATTTTCTGTAAGGAAAATAAATTTCAATTCTTCTGTTATCTCGTGGTACATTGCTGTATTAAACACAGTTTAGGTGATGGTTATAACATAAAGTAAGCATAAAGTGTCAGTTATGTGGGAAAAAATAAACATGGAACACTAGCAGGAAGTTTCTAAGAAAAAAATGTGATTACTTTCAAATGAAGCAAATCGATCCAGTCCTCTTTGGTAAAAACTCTCATTTACTATTGAATGGAAGAACATGAAAGGATGAAAGATAGAAAAATAGAGGGAAAGTGTGGGGCTCTATAAATTATCATGTCATAATCATTTCAAATAAAGAAACAATTACCGGCTCTCTCCATTGCAATTCAGAGTTTTATTGGAGGACAGTGTCAACAAATTAGGTAAAAAAAAGAAAACTGAGGTATAAATATTAGAAAGGTAAACACTGAAAATTATGCCATTACCTATAGAGATTTAGATTGTATGAAAAAAATGCAAAAGGATTAAAAACCTATCAGAACTACTGTAAGAGTGAAGAACAAACTGGCTTAAATGCTAAACAGTAATAATCTGACAGAACAGCAGTAACCCATGAAAAAAAATGTAGATTTAAATATCCTATTAACAAAAACTATAAATTGATATTATCAGAGATAACCATGACATAAAATGTAGAATGTTGCATAGAGAAAATGACAAAAACTTTAATGAAGAACATAAAAGACTTGATTAATAGAGAGACATCCACGTACATGGATGCGAAGACAAGACTGTCAAGATGTCATTTCATTTCTTTCCAGATTATTCTGCAGTTAGCACTCCAAATAGTTATACAGTAAGTTGGCAAGAAAAACCAAGACAATTTCTTTTCACTCAGTTCAGTTCTCTTTCTACTGTAAAGTTACATGTATTTTAGTAAGAGAGAGAAAGATTATTAATATGCAATACTCTTGCTGGTCACTTTTTGGTCACTACATCAAATATTTGGGATGGAAACAACAAAAGTAGGTTAGATACAATAGCATGTGAGAAGGTGGGGTCTATTCTTTTAGGATTAAACTACTCTTGGTACTTCTCAGTCTAGCCTTCTAAGCAAACTCCTTGACATGGTTCCGCTCTCCTACGAGCTTGCACACATTCCCTTACTATCCCATAGGAATCTATGGCACTACACTACACACATCTGCCTTTTCTCTCACTTGGAGCTGGCATTTTCACCTTGCTCTCATACATGCTTCTATCCTTCTTGAGTTATATCTATATTTACACTTAAAATTATGAAAGTTAAAGCTTATCTACTTTAGTTCTACCTTAATATTTTATAGGTGAGGGAATGGGGCTTAGAGAAGCACCATAGGCAGAAAAACTAACTTCAGGTTTGCAAGATTCAAGAGAATCTAATGGCTAGATTATTCTTGTGCTCTATAGTGTATCTCTAGAACTTTAAAACTCAGTACTCTCCTCTTGTTTACCTTCTAACTGAATGAGAGGCTGCTAAAGGATAAAATAATCTTAAAATATATTTATTCTCCACATTTGTCTCACTACACGTTATATGTATCCTACTGGTTGTCTTTTCATTCAGTAGCATAATATAGGTATCTGAATGTAGGAATGTACTAATAAACATTAGTGAAATGTTAACCAACTACTTTATTTTACCTTTATTTAATGTCCTATAATGTCTGATATGTTCATGGGTCCCAAGCTGAATAAACATGTCAGGACTTTTTTGTGTCAGGTAAGAGTAAAAGACAGAAAAAATTTCTGAAAGTACTGGAACTAACCAAATTGTGAAGCTTAGGGTTGTCATAAAATAGTATTCTTCTATTATTAAAATAAAGAAGAACAAAAGGATTTATTATTCACTAATAAAAAATGAGATATAATAAAGATCAAGAATCAGAAGTTTTTAATGAAGACAACTACTAATAAGTCCCAACAGATATATCTATAACCTCTCAAATAACTTAGGGAGTTTCCAAAATATCAATTCTACCAAAGGTACAGTTGGCATCTGTGTAAGAATATAATTGAGTCCATGACTGGATGACTTGAGAGATCAGAGCAGGCAGAACATACTCTCATCATAAGGTGGTAAACAGTCCAATGACCTCTGAGGTTACAGGAGTCTGTGCCTAAGGTTTGATAAGCAGACTGAAACTACATCTTGGGTAGATGGTACTTATAGACTGTGAAGTATCTAATGTGGCTTGTGTTCACTTTTTTAAGAGATGGCTATTCTGTGGAAATTCCTGGTTGAATATTAGGTTTCCTCCTACCCAAACCAGGGACTCTCTCTAATTCCCACACCAATTTTCACCCACAGCAAAAATCATTTAAGATCCATACACTATCCTTTCCTGTTTAACAATTTGCAAATACATATTTTATGTCATAGGGCAAAAAATAGACGTTATAAAGTTCTAGCAACAGAGATAGGAGAAATGACATAAATATTGATACATGTGGAGATGGATATGATGTTTTCCAAGGCAGTGAGGGGAGCAGTCTAACTTGAGAAGAAGGCATTGTATATGAATGATATAGGAAGTAAGACTAGATAGACAAGGTAGAAAAAAATCTTTAAAAGCTAAGGAGTGTAGATTTTATTAATCATTTCTAAATTTTTTTTGAAGAGAAGCATATATTTAAAGTGTCTATTTTCCCTTTACATTCATTTTTCAGCCCACTCAGTTTTTCTTTTATCCAATACCTCCTGTAGCAGAATTTTCTAAAACTGATCTCTTACTAAGGTAATTAATAAGTTGCTAAATCAAATTATGTTTATCATACCATACCAGTCTGCCACATTTAGTGCTATTGATTCAATTCACTTTCTTTCTGGAAATAAATCTTGGGTAATTCTCTTCGCAAAAGTCTTCCCCAAACCCCTGTAGCTTTAAAAAGGACATTATCATGAAATTTACTTCTTTCTATACCAATCTTTATCTTCCTCTTTCCTAGGATAGAAAGGCATTCTGCTAAAATGACCACTTTACCTGATCTGATCACATCCTCCAGAATCCTGCTTATCAGCTATGCCAAGTTCTCTCTAAATCTTCAACATGCCCCTCTGCAGGCTTCTCAACCTTAGCTTAGAAGCATATTCAACTCTTCTCTAGCTTTATCTAAAATTTTTTTTGATGTCCCTGACTCTCATCAAAGAAGAAAAGAAATCCTGCAGCTGACAGAGAAAAGCATAAGTGTTGAAGGGT